TGGCCAACCAAAAAGATTACCTCAGGGAGAAAGTCCTAGCCTTTTCCTGTCATCTGTTATGTCAATGTCCTATTAGTAAGGAGTATTAAAATGTGATATACACATTTGCAGTCTGAATTGGTAGAGTCCTTTCTAATAATTCACAACAGTTTTATTCAGCTGCAGATGGTCTTCATGCTGTAACAATTCTATATTAAATAAAATATAATTGCTAAATGCTAATTTACAGGAGAGCTAGAAATGAGGTCAAGGGAGGAAGAAACCTTAGAATTGTTTTTTGTTTTGTTTTTTCAGTTGCCTGCTGCCTGAAAACTTAAGTGAAGTGGGTGGAGGCAACAGGTCTGTCAATGCTAGCAAAAATTCACATTGTAAGATAAGAGTTTACAGATTCTGGTTTGAGGAAACAGTGCATTCATATGGCTGCTGTGGGAGATTCTGTTTCTAACTCATTTTAGGCAAATCACAAAATTGTTAACCAGCTTGCTTGTCTCCTCTCAAAAAGGTATATTTATCTGTTGCTCCTGACTGGAATGGTATGGGTGTCCTAGTGCTTATAAAGTACCTTTTGATCCCCATATAAAAGATTCTATAGAGGCGCAAAGTAATATTATTACTGTAATAGCTTGAGGCTGTGCACTAATGCCATCATAAGCTAGAGTAAGAATGGGCTGCTTAACCATTATACTTTATATGCCACAGTATTTCATTTTATTTTTAGAAGAAAGAGGGATTATTAAAATTATCCTCTTTTGATGATACTAGGAAACCCTGATTTTATAATCACAACTCTAATTAGCACTCTCAAGCTTTCAAAGATTCTTAACATCATTAGAACATTTATCCTGGGCAGATAATAGCAAGGATCGGCTGCTTTTTCAAGTTGAATCCAGATAAAAGGCCTTTTATAAGGGTTCTGTGGGCAGGTTGGATTCTGAGACAGTATTGATTTACCATACTCTGTCCTTGCTATCTATCAGCAGCAATTAGGTTAATATTGGTAAAGGACCACTTAACAAAATAATCAGACCCCTAGAGCTCTTCCAAAAGTACCATTTCCTAACAGGGTTACCTGTGGTTTTTGCCTGGCATGAATTAGCACTTCTATCTCAGATCAGATGGTCCATAGGAATTAATGTACTGTCTTTAATTTTATACTAGCCTGTGGATATTATTATTTAAAGATAGCAAAGGATGAAAAAAAAAATCATTATAAAGGCCTTTAAAAAGAGTGGCCATTGCTGACAATTCTAGCAGCTGAAGTCCACTTTCCTGGCAAGCACCCAATTTGGGGAAGAATGCTATGTCATTGTGCCTTCAGAAAATGAGAGAGTTGTCATCTGTAGTAGGATAAACTGTTGGGAAAAGGAGCTTAAGATTTGTGGAAGTTCCTTTAAGAGTATATACTAAAAGTGCAAACAATTCCGATGAGGGAAAAAAATAAAAGATAGAAGAAGCCAATACGACTATATAAAAAGCTTAATGGAAATTGCAAACAAAAAGGACACATATAGGAAATGGAAAGAGGAAATGCACAAAGAATTAGTCTAGAATTGTAGAAATGTTTGAAAGTCTAATGCTCAGAATGAACTGAGGTTGGCAAAAGATGCTAATAACAATAAGAAAGTCTTTGGATATGTTCAAAATAAAAGGAAAAGAAAGGAAGGAACAATGGAACAAAGAAAATCAATTTACCAGCTGCTCAATGAAGATGGCAAAATGTTAGCAGGCACCAAATCAAAAACAGAACTGCTGAAGAAAAAGAAAAAGGGGCAGGACTGAAGTTTATAATTCATGAAAAAGCATGGCCAGGGAATACCTATTTACCCTGAATGAATGTACATCACTAGGGACATATCAGTCAAATCCTAGGGCACTGAAGGATTTGCTAATTATATTATTGTACCATTGTATATTAACTTGAAAAAAATTCTGGAAAACAGATGAAAAAGCAGATGAGTTATAGGAGAGCACGTGTTTTCAGCATGTAGGGTGCTGTAGACCAGCCAGCCTAATACAGATACCTGGAAACGTATTGCTAGTTACCAGAAATCAGTACTGATTTTTCAATATCTTTCCAGGCTAGCTCTATCTCATTTTTAATCAGGTAATTTCCTTAGTAGATTGAATGAATGCTGTAGATATAATATATCTTAGTCTTAGCATTTGATAAAGCATTCTATAGTTTTCTGATCAGCAAGTTAGTTAGCCTGATCTTGATGGCTTGATAACTGTGTATGTAGCTGACTTGAAAATTGTTCTTTATTAAACTAGACAGAGTTATTGAGTGGGATGCCCCAAGTTTCAGTCTTGGGTGCTCTAGTGTTCCATATTTTTATCAATAAGTTGCATGAAGACATGGATAGAATGCATATCAAATCAGCAGATGACAGAGAAATAAAATTCAGAATTGTCTTGACAGATTGAGAGAATCATAATAGAATTAAATTCAAATAGGCAAATGCAATTATGCACTTAGGACAGAAATCAAATGCAAAGTATAGAATGGGAAATACATGGCCTGCCTATAGTACTTATGGAAAAGATATTGAAATAGTAGTTAATTATCAGTTAAATATGAATCAGCTGTATGTCGTGGCTCCAAAAATGGCAATCACAGGTTCACAAAAGGATAATGAGAATGATAAAAAGATTAGAAATAAATCCTTATGAAGAGAGATTGAAGAGACTCAGAATGTTTACTCATGAAAAGAAAAAACTGAAGGGAAAATATGTTAGCGCTCTTCAAGTACATGAAGGGATATCCCACAGAAGAAGGTCAAGATCTGTTCAATTGTCATTCTAGAGTGCATGGTATAGAACAATGTATTTAAGTTTTGAGAAGACAGATTTCATTTCCTAACAATAAGACCATTGAGCTAATTATCCAAAGAGGTGTAGTGTTCCTTCTCACTAAATATGTTCATGCAAAGGCTGGACAGCTATGTGTCATGGATGCTTTAATTTGGATTCCTGCACAGAACAGTTGGTGGATGGATGGCCTATGTTTCTTTGATATTATAGTTGTTGTATTATAAGAAGTCAAGCAGAGGTGCTTACAGGGGGAAGGAAGATCCTATTCTTTTTTTGCTGGTAACAAACAGACCACCTCAGCCAGCCTTCTTGTTTTGATTGTAGTTTCTCTCCTCTTCCCTTATACAATGTACCCTGGGATTTAGGACAAGGTAGAAACAGTGTGTGCAGAAGGAATGAGAGAGATCATATGTGTGTTTCCTTCTTTTTCTTTTGGAAAACAAAGATGCTGACTGCATCCCTCTGCAGTCATGGCTTTCTCTGTTTGAATCAGAGCTGCAGTCATCTGCTACCCTCACTGATCTTGGGAACCTAGAACAGAATGGTGGGGATACAATCAAAACTAAGATGAAATGTTAGGTAAAAGTTCTCTCAAGCATTTTTCAAACATCAGTCATCTTTGTATGAGAGTTCGGTGTTGCCTAGAATGCTTGTAGAGCAGTTCATTTTTGAAGGAAACAGTTTCTTGTTTGCCATCCCTGACACATTGCCTGTTATGGCTTGCTTTTCAAAGATAAAATAGAATGGAGTAACAGAGCTTTTCTTCAGGGATAATGTTGTACACACACGAAAAAGTGAATACAAACTTCAGCTGAATAACATAATAGGAGAAAGCAATAAATACAAAGATTAATTACTAAGACCAATACTTGAATTGTCTTGGGTAGAAATCAAAAGTATGCATTTTATTTTTAGTCTGCTTAATAACAGAAATTCTTTGGAATGATGGTAAAGGAAGCATTTTATATAGGAGGGCCTTCCATTCAAAATGAAATTAGCTGCTTTAGAAGAGAGACTAAGATTGTATGACTAAGAGACAATTAATGTATTGTTGATGATCACGCAGATTTTGTTTTGCATTTTCCCCAATAGGAGGTGAATAATTGTATCATGAAGGATGGTTACAGTCTGCTAAATCAAACCAGTTTATATTATCTGTTGTTATAGCCATATCTACCTTAAAATGTACAATATTTATGAAGCTGTCTTGGCTGGGATTCCTCTTTTTTTATTTTTTTTATTTTTTTTATTTTTTGTTCCTTTGAGTCTCAAAGCACCAGTCTCCTGTTCATTTACAGTACATTGAATTAACCATCATAAGGAACAGAGTAACACAATAGCAAGGAAACCCATAGGAAACAGAGACACACTTTGCATGTTTCTCTTCAGTTTGTTCAACTATGGTGACCAACCTGAATGCCTGTTAGTTCAATCTTCTCATTGGGCAGTAGAAAAGTGCAGGCCCAGACCCACTACATGTATAATTGAACACGCTCAAGGCCTGCACTCATACCTGTAAATTTTGGAGGAACCTATATGCATATTGCCCATCTTTATCTGCCATTCAAGCATAGACTGCAGAGGTAATGGCCATAGTCCCATTCTTTTCCATATATTGATTGAGGATGTGAAGAGAAGCTGAGAAGAGGGCCATTCATTTATGTTATCAGTACAGTTACTTGGGCTGAATACTGATGTTACCTTTTCTTTCTCTTCGGATGTGTCATATTCACTGTTTTATCTGAAAATATTATTGCCTTATATCAATTTAACTCATTCTGTCATCACTATTAGAACATTCTAATGTGGACAAATGTGTCAAGTCTATCATATCCTATTGGAGTTTGTGTGCTTGTTGCTGATTAAACTGCGATCTACAATGAGAGCTGTTCCCATTAATGAACTCATCCATTACTTCAAGGACTTCACACTTTCTTTTCAATAGTATAATGTATTTGCCATTTGTGCTTTGCTTAGCACTCAACTTTACAGCTTGCAATAATTATATCTAATTCTGACTTTCTCCTCTGTTAAATTACTGCATAGCAAAAAAAAAAAAAAAGGTCTCCAAAATTAGCTCATTCATCAGATGAGAGCATCAGCCAGACTATTATGGGGTGAACAATGTGCATATATAGCAATAGCATCTCTTCTCATTATAGAACTCACTATGGATTTTACATTTTCAGAATTGTGTGTGAAATGGGGCAAGCTGAGCCTGACATTAGCTCCGGTCCTGCACTCCTCTGTATTGGAGAATGCAAGTCAGAATTTGTGGCCAAGTCTGCACAGCATTACACATTTGTGGTAAGTACCCTAGAGCCATTCTTGTTACTTGATTGAGAAACATACACCAAGTAAGCAGTACACGAAACAGTCCTTTCTAATTCTGCCAAGAAGGAGTGGCAGGGTCTAGAGTTGTTAAAATGTTGTTTATTAATATATTCAAGTGGGAGCAAATCTTTAGAGTATATTCAGTGTGGCATTTTACATACCAGATACCATAATATGGTTTACCTCTTTCAGTCACTTTATGAATACTGCAAAAGAGTTGAAGATAAATAATGGAAGTTTATCCTAGGATGAATAATTTCAGGTGCCTCATTTCAAAGGCAGGGCCCCCTGGGAAGATAAGTAGAATATAAATCAAATGCATTAATTGTAATGAATAAATGAGAAAATAAAATAAATTGCCCAAATCTTATAAGTTCCTCCCCTCTCCCCTTTTTGGCATCCAAGCCATTGTGCAAGATCAAACAATAGAAATGAGAGCCAAAGGGGTGTGTGTGTGTGTGTGTGTGTGTGTGTTTTAATTTTGACTTATGGCATAATTACTTGCCTGTGGCTGCATTAACTTGTCTTTAAATTCTGTTTGCACTGACTGATCTAGTTCATGGACCACAGCCCTATACAGATATACAGCTCTTGCATTGTTTGACTAGATTTTTTTTTTAATTTATTGGCTCATAAAATCATGACACATTTTCACCTGGGAGAAAGCCTTCCTAGCACTAAATGCTTGTAGGTAATTTCTTTGACAAACTGTGGCTTTAACTGTGATTAATTTTTTAGATCTTCTTCTGTGATATCCTAGACAGTGCAACCTTTTTGAGATCATCTGTGGTATCCTTCCTTTTCAAAGTGGAAGGAATAATGCAAACCCTGATTACTATGGAACTTAATTAACTGTAATTAATCTATGGAGCTGCCACTTTCCATTATATTATGTATATATTATAACACTATGGAATAATTTTATTTAGCTATTAAAAACAAACTGTCTGCCCCTCCCCACTTTCCCCCACTGCCCTGTCTTTCTTTTTATCATCCATCTTTCCTTAATGTGAAAGCATTCTTTTCCATTTAAATAGCAAATAGATGCTAATTCAATATAGTTTCCATTAATATGTTTAATCTAGAGTTCCTTTTTGTGGTTTTCCATTCCTGAAGCAATCATTGCACTCTTCTGTTATTTAATTATGAACCTTTTTATTCATATGCTTGAAAATCCCACCTGGGACTTTTCTTCATTTCCATTTTGGCCTGAGCAAGGCTATTTGGCCTCAGTGGTTTTGCGCTAACTACATGTTAGCAATTGCCAATTGTCCACAAGTTGTAAAGGAAGCAATGAGTAAAATGGATTGCACCTGTTGTCTCATTACTATATGAGCAATGTACTAGAATGGACACTTATTTTAGTAAATAAGTTAGGCAAATATTGCTCATGTTGCACTTTGCAGGAGGGAGTCCCAATTACTAAAATCTGAGTTACTAAATTTTTTCATGTCTGTCTGTGTCTCTACCTTCTTTGTATTTATAGCCATTCATCTATCAAATGGTATATTTGGCAGACAATCTTTCTGTTTCATTTCAAAAGTATGCAAAGCCGCAACAGGCTTACATTGGTGATTTATACAGTACTTTAAAAAAAAGTATCAAAAAGCTAAAATGATTGTAACTGTGGGCAGGGGAAGAAGTATTTCTGTAAGACTTTCTCTCAGAAAGTGAACAAGCACTTGCTTGGCCCTCACTGTGTCACTAGGGGTGGATATGGGTGCATGTGAACTGAAGCTCAAGATAAGCAAAGAGCAAGTGAGGGAATTCCTAGCTAATCTAAATGAGTTAAAGTCTCCTGGGCCAGATGAATTACACTGAGGGTATTGGAGGAACTAGCAGGGGTAATTGCAGAACCACTTTCTGTAACCTTTGAGAAGTCCTGAAGAACAGGCGAAGTCTCAGAAGGCTGGAGGAGGGGTAATGATGTTCCTGTTTTCAAAAAGGGAAAGAAGCAGGACCCAGGAAACTGGAGGCCTGTGAGCCTGCCATTGGTACTGGGCAAGGTCCTTGAGCAGATTACCAAACAGCATGTCTCTGAGCACTTAGGTAGGAATTAATTAATTAACAGGAGCCAACTGGATTTATGCCGAAAAAGTCATGCCAAACTAACTTGATCTCCTTTTATGATAGAGTTGCTAGCCTAGTTGTTTGAGGAAATGCCATGGATATAGTATATCTTGATTTCAGTAAGGCTTTTGACAAAGTCTCTTATAACATCCTTATTAACAAAATGGTCAAATATGGGTTTGACAACGGAACCATCAGGTGGATCTGCAGTTGGTTCAAGGACTGTACTCAAAGAGTCATTATAAATGATGTCAAATCTACCCAGAGAGACATCTTGAGTGGAGTACCACAAGACTCTATCCTGGGCCCAGTGCTGTTCAACACTTTTATAAATGATATGAATGAAGGAGTTGAGTGAATGTTTACCAAATTCGCAGATGATACAAAGCAAGGAGGAGTGACTGATGCTTAGGAGGAGAGGAGGGAAAAATCAAAAGACTTAGGCTAGAACAATAGGTAGAAACAAATAGAATGAAATTTAACAGGAAGAAATGTAAAGCCATGTACAAATGAGGGAAATCTGCCTCAAAAGCAACACAAATGAGGAAGCTCTGGGTATACTAGTAGATCACAGGTTCAACATGTCCCATCAGCGAATGCAGCTGCAAAGAAGGCCAATGAGATCTTAAAGAGCTTCAAGAAGAGCAAACAATTCAGATTGTGGGGAGTAATTATCCCACTCTACTTTGCCTCTGTAGCAAAACTTGGCCTAATATAGACAGGAGAAAGCATAAAAGAGGCAGGCAATATGAGTGGGCAAAATGAATCTGGTTAGTGGATAAAAGGATTTGCTTGCAAATGAAACTTTCTTGAAAAATATATATTAAAAAGAGAAGAAGATTAATTCAATCCATTTAGTATTAGAGTAAACAACAGCAATGATGGTTAAGGATAAGTGCTGTTTGCTTTTTAGAAAAGAAACAGAGCCTTCCCACAGGCTGTTAGATGAAGTCACCAAAGACAGGAGGAATGAGATATTGCACATGCAGACTGCAAATTTTAGTTTGGCAGACAGCATCAGAGTTGTCCTCAGAGCTGCCTACATGTACAAAATCTTCCACATCACAAGGTGTTCTGTTTCTATGCTTGCTGACAAACAGTATCTTATTAGTCCTTTTAATGCTGTTTCCATTCATTCATTCATTCATTCATTCATTCATTCATTCATTCATTCAATACCTTGGCTGGTGAGTACTCAGAGCAGTTTTCATTAAAAAAAAACTTTCAGTGTGAGAATGGTCTTAGGCTACATTAAATGATAACCAGTGTCTGAATGAAAAATTGAAGCACCATTCAGCAACTTGTTAAGCATACGTGAAATGTCATCACATTTTCTATTGCTGTCTTTTTGTGAGTGAAAAAGGAATCCACACATAGTTTCTTTCTGTTGCTTGGACTTGTTTTGTTTTGTTTTAACCTCTTTTTTGTTACAACTGCAAACTTTATTAACAACAGTTGTACTGCTGAAACACTTCTGCATCTGAGGGGATCCCTAGGTTTCACCTCTGCATTGCCCGTATTATCTAATGTCAGACAGATTTTATTGGCACATTTTGCAGCTACTAGAGCCTTTTTCAGGCATTTCAAGAAGTGATGAAAGTAGTCCTGGGAGAGCAGGATGAATACTCCCATATTTCTCCCCCTCCAGGTACAAAGCAAACATCTGTGGAAGAGAGTTTCCTCTTTCCTGGAAGCTCTCTTCCTGTTCTTATAACCTAGCCAAGCCCACACAAAATTAAGTTCTCCCAAAATAATAAATTTAGGTACCATAAAACTTCAGACTGAATCCTGCACAAGCTTGCTACTTCGGAAAGCCTTGGCTTAACTGTGGCAGTGAGGCTTGCTTGGCATTGCCACAGTGCAGACTTATTAGGAGTCTGAGGGAGGTACCTTTTGACCACAGCAGCAGGCATACAGTCCTTTCCCGGCCTTGCAGCTGACCAGGCCCAGCTAGAGACACACGAGACACAATCTCAGAACCTCCTGTGCACAAAGGAGCTCTGCCACACCACAGCCTCACTCTGTACTGAGAAGTGGCTCCCAACAGGCCCCCTTGGCCTATGTCCCTCCACCCTCCAAAAAAGGTTTAATTGATACCTGTTGACGTTTCAGGCCATAAAAGGTCCATGATAGTTGTTAACTTTATAAAAAAATCAATTTTTCAATTAATAATAATTAAAGTTTAAATAAGTTCAGAATATATCCAGAGAAGGAAAGAATAAGGAAAGAGAAGGGGCTACCTAAATGCTTTTTCTATAATGCTTTTCTTTTTTTCTTTTTTAAATTTTTCCCTGCATAATCAAGTCCCCCCCCAAAAAAGGAAGAATTTAAATGCTTACAAAATATTGATTGCAATTATCAGTAACTAGTGAGTTTATATTATGACCTGTAAGCTTGTATGTAACATACTATTATACTTTCTAGTTTCTATACTTAAAGAAATATGTAAACATTTTAATATGTCGCTATTACATGTATTTGCAATTTACTTACATAATCATATTGTGGGGCACAAATTTGTGCTTGATTTGAGAAAAGCTGCACAGATATTTTTTTTTCCCCCACACACTGCATTTCAGAAATTAGAGGGGATGTGGCTTGTAACTGAAGTTCCTGATGTTAAAATGTTCAATGAGAGCTTCCATATGACGGTGGCAGACACAATCATTCATCCTATACATTTTATTATTTTATCAACAAGTAATCATCTTCACATTTAGTCTGGTCCTTTGATGATCAAAACCCTGGGATAACATTTGTCAATGCTTGGTTTGTTTCTGCATTTGGGAGGTAAATCACAAATTTAGGTTAGGTGAGAAACAATAAAACCTTGGAAAAATAAATTCTGTAGTCTTCTTTCATCCCTGGATAAACTATCATGCAAATGGCAGTAGGGTTGTGGC